GGTATATTTTTAATGAAAATGTGAAATGTAACTATTTGATTATCTTTTTTCTTTTGAGGAACATATGCCCTGAGCTAACATCTGCCACCAATCCTCCTTTTTTTTGCTGAGGGAGATTGGCCCTGAGCTAACTTCTGTCCCCTTCTTCCTCTACTTTCCATGTGGAACGCAATATGACTACCATAGCATGGCTTGATAAGTGGTGCTAGGTCCACACCCAGGATCTGAACCAGTGAACCCCAAGCTGCTGAAGCAGAGTGTGGAAACAGCTGCTGTGCCACCGGGCCGGCCCAAACTATTTGATTTTTTTTTAAAGATTGACACATGAGCTAACATCTGTTGCCAATCTTTTTTTTTTTTTTCCTTCTTCTCCCCAAAGCACCACCCCCCCCACCCCGTCCTGGTACATTGTTGTATATTCTAATTGTAGGTCCTTCTAGTTGTGGCATGTGGGACGCCACCTCAGCCTGGCCTGATGAGTGGTGCCATGTCCGCGCCCAGGATGTGAACCGGCGAAACCCTGGGCTGCCAAAGCAGAGTGCGTGATCTTAACCAACTTGGCCCCGGGGAGGCCCCTGTTTGATTTCAATAGAAGTAATAAATCAATGTGAAACTGAAGTCGTGGCTGCGCTTCTCGTAGATGTTTCTTCACCCCAAGAGACATAATTCCTTAAAAGGCCTTCAGAGAATAAAAGAAGAAAAAATTGAAAGAAATATTAAGAGCTTTAAAAAATAAGAGTAGTATTTATTTGTTTTTCTCTTAGAGTCTCTCTTCTCCCACAAGAATTTCCATCTGGCTGTGTGTGTACCTGTATATATATGTTGTCGATGTAGGTACACATACACACACACACACACACACACATCCACGTGGGCAGGTCTGCTGGTTGCGATCCAGGTCACCTGTGCCAGGTGACCCATCTCCTGGGAGACTTCCTTTCAGCCAGTGGACATGGCCTTCCTGCTCAGCATCACTGCTTTCTTGTGCCTTAACCCGGAGCTCTTTCACTTGTCAATGCATTTGAAAAAAGACAGCGCTGTGCAAATATGATTTTTCTCGCTGGTTTTTGAAGAGCACTTTCGGTGCTTCCTCGGGATCCTATGACCTCATGCTATAATTAAGGGGAAAGAGGTCTTGTTGAGATAGTCACAGTTAACGTGTTTAACCAAACCCATGCTGAGAAAATTATGTACAAGAAATGAATGATTTGCTGTTAACTACAGAGTCAAGCTTTAAAAGAGCCGACTTTAGTGGGGCACGCATTCAGTAGAAGGTTGTTCAGCACTTGCTCTGGAGTCGCTGCTGTGCCCGTGGGACTGTGCTCGGGTCCTGGAGTAGCCGCGGTGCTGGACTCATAGCAGCAGAGAGGGTCTGATTTCCCTTCCTGGAAGCAGGTGTGGAGGGCGTGGTCGGCTGTGTTGTCTGGGCTGGGAGCCCCATGGGCGGTGCTGTGACATGGGACGTGAAGCCAGACTCCAATGACTAGTGGCAGCGTCCTCTTGATTCCTAAGTCAGTCACCATTTCTAGAGGGACGAGAGAGAAGGATGCAACCAAAATAAAGCTGAGAAGTCACGAGTGGTGCAGGGAGGTGCAGAGCAGTTGACAGGCGGGAACGGCCTCGAGGGGCTCATGACACATGATGTGACCGTGGCTCCTGGTGGGGGAGGCCCACCCTCACACATGCCCGGGACAAGGGCAAACACGCGCCGTATGTCTGCGTAGCTGGGACGGATAAATCAAGTTAACACAATGTTAGATGGAGTGTGTTTGTGCTCCCACCATGGCACTTGCACTTTTATGGTGACCTAGAACACCAGCCTGGAATTAATGTTTTGTTTCTCTCTAGAGGGATGTACTGGCTCGGAACTTGGCCACCGGGGTGAGCAGACCCAGTCCCTGAGCCAGCTGTCTCCCCGCTGCTTCATCCCACGTTGCAAGGGGTCTCGTGACTACTCATGTGGACCTGCCAAGCCACACTCCCCAGCCGGACCCATAGCTCCCACATAGCCACACCTTCCAGGCCAAGGTGGAGTGGGATGGGGCCACAGCTGTGGGGAGGCCCTTTCCAAAGGGTGGGTGTCAGGGCACCTGTGCTACCCTAAGTGTGACCATGGCTGTGGCTTGGTCATTGGAGCCAACAGTAGTTGTAGACATGTATGAGCCAGGGGCATAAGATATGCACTACCCTCAACATTTGCTCCTCCGTATTAGCCCCCACGGGGCCTCACCTTTTGGTGGGCATTTGTGGCTGCTGGTTTTGATAGCTGCCTGGAAAAGAGTCTGCTGAAAGTTCATCTGGCACGTCATTGGTCAGCCTGAGGCTCAGTAGGTCCTGTTCCTGGTGCCACAGTTTACAGGCTGCTGCAATGATGACTCTAAAATCTGTAGCCACTGGATGAATGTTTCTTTGGCCAAATAATTTTCTAACAAATCCATCTCTTTTGGTTATCTGTTGCTGCATAACAGACCACCTCAAAACTGAGTGGCTGGAAGCAACAGCTGTCATTTATTATCCCTAGTGACTGAGGGTGAACTGGGTCAGCTGGTGCTGCTTCTGCTCTGTATGGTGGGACGGGGGTCGTGGTCACCTGGAGCTGTGACGGGATCGAATGATCCAGACGCTCACTCATGTGACTGACAGAGGAGCTGGCCGTCAGCTAGCAGCTCCTCAAGGCCTGTTGACTGGAGCACTTCGTTCTCCTCGGTGTGACCATCAATGCAACTTGGGTTTGCTGGTGTAGCAGCTGGATTCTAAGAGGGACCCACCGAGTAATGATCGCATCACGTTCCACCAAGAGATGATACCACAGACCATTTGAACTTCCCTCAGTTGTGTTTTTGTCATCATGTCTTATTGGAATTATCTTTTTATTTTGATGTGCCCCCCCTAGTATTATAAATTTTTCCAGCACCAGGAATATATTTATTTAACATCTCTTATGCCCATTTTTCATTCCTGTGGTGGTGCCTGGCATGAAGTAAGTGCCTGGTACACATTAGAACAGAATCAACATTTAGGTTGTTTCCAATTTTTTGGCTTTTATAATATTAAAGCAAAAACGTAATTTTTAATTTTCCTATTTCCTAAAGTTTTCCTAGAATTGTTCCTAGAAATGGAACTACTGGTTCAAAGTATAGGTGTGTTTTAGACTCTTGAATTGTATTTCCAAACTGCTTTCCCTGGGAGCCATACAAATCTACATAATCATGAGCCAACAGGAGAAAACCCTTCCTAGCAGCTTAACCTGCTGATAGGTCATTTTAATTTTGTCTTTTACTGTCATAAACTTGATAAGCAAAAGCAACATTTAGTTATTGCCTTAATTCACCTTTTGGGATTATTGTCACTTGCTATATAAAGTAGGTAGTCAAATACACGTGCAATTTTATTTTTGACTTGGAGGGTTATATTCAATGTAGAGTTAACTAAATTTAGAATTGGAAGAGATCTAAGCAGGTTCCAGAAGCTAAATGGGTGCTTCTCTGCATTTTTGCCTCCTGACACTGATGAGTCTCAGACTGTCTGATAGCATGTGTGAAGGAATCTGGTGTATCCACAGCTGACCCACTGAACCCCTGTATCGGTCGTGGAGCAGAACTAGTTCCCCGCTGAATTCCACCTTCTCGTGGACGTATGAGCATGTTCCGGTGAACGCAGACTCTTTCTGTGATGCCGGGTTGACATTGTACCAGGGAATTGAACCCAATTCATCATCGTACTGTCCCTGACTTTGCAAGACCCACTCAGCACAACATTGTATCTGAATTGTCATACTGTCGAAACAGTGTCATAATGTTGTGTATCCTCCAGTTGCATAAAAACATAAATATTACATAGTGATCAAAGTTCACTGGCACAGTGCCGAGGAGTCAGGGGTGGCTCTAGGGGACACACCAGGAAATGGATGTGCATCTTGATTGAGGTGGCGGTTACACACATCTACGTGTGATAAATGGCATAGAGCCATCCACATACGAGGTGCCCTAGTCAGTGTCCTGGGTCTGGTGGTGCCCTGTGGTTAAACAAGGTGTCAGCACTGAAGCATGCATAGCACCCTTCTGTATTTCCTCGTATCTCCCTACGGATCTGTAACTGTTTCAAAATAAAACATTTAACACAGTCTCTGGCACATCTGTGCAGAGTTCGTGGTACACTGGTTGGAAATGGCTGACGTCATCGACAGGTGGCAATCCTTCTGCTGGTTCCCCGATGAGCTGTTTGCTTGAGCTCATGAGGGTACGGTTGTTGACCTTTCTTGTGTTGGGGTGAATCTGCCTTCCTATGACTTCCACTCGGAACTTGTGTCTTCAGACAATGTCATAGAAAAGTCAGCCACCTCTGTGTATAGCAACCTTCAAATATTTGACACCTGTGTCGTTTCCTGTCTGGGGAAAGCATCCCTGAGTTTAAACTCTGCCCTATGGGGTAGGGGTTGCAGACCCCTGTTTTCGTAATCGTCTCGTCATACTTCCGTCAAATTTCCTTCTTGAAATTTAGTGTCCTAAATAATGTTTTCTTGGAATGTGCTCCAGATGTCCTTCAACTGGCATAATCAGAGCAGGTTTTGATGGAGAGTAGAGATCAAGGAAAAGCTGGGCCAAAAACTGATCATTGTTATGCTGTGTTTCTAAAGAGCCTCGTGCCTTCGTAATAGCTGTTTTCCACAGGCCTCATGTGTCTGTGAGGCTCAGGACTCATCAATCACGTTTTCCAGCTTATTGTCTCCACTGCTGTCGTGATTTTGGTGCATTTGCGGGAGGACCCGACACTTAGCTGTCCTGAGCACCTGCCTTGCTCACATCCCTTCTGCTGTGCAGTAACTGAGATGGGGTGAAGAGAAAGGATGGGCATTTTCCTGCTACATTTTAATATTGATAGATCATGATCAATTCTCCTGACACCTTAGTCATGGACAGAGTCAGGTGACCTGTTTACATCTCAGAAGGGAACATGCTTCTGTCATTAGATCCTGTGTCTAAGGACGCAGAGCCCGCTGATCTACTGTGAAGCCATGTGGTCGGTGTGGCTGCCTCCTGTCTTGGGTGTTTCCTTAAAGACGAAGATGCTAGTGGTGGTTTTCCTCCATGGGTATCTTGGGATGGAGGCAGAAAACACTCCATGAGCTTCTCTGGTCTGTCATCCACCTGTTTGCGTATCAGCGGTAGAAATCTCTGGTAGCCGTTACAGGGACCCTCCATATAGGAAGGCGGCTCCTCTGATCATGGGGTGAGATGTATTCTGTGTCTCAACTAAAATTGTGATTTTAGGAACCATGTTTTTGGTTAATTTGAGCTCAGAAACACGAGATTTATGTTTCTCAGATTTCATAGCAAGGGCATTTTAAAGAGGAAAATGTGCCGTTCTCGGGGAGGGAACACGCCCATTCTTTGGTGGCTTGGTTTTGAAGAAGCGTTTCCTCTCTGGTGAAGAAAAGCCCTTCGTCTGAGAGCTGATGTGCTCCTTCATTGTGACGGGTTAGAGAGGCGGGAGGACATGCTTTCAGGTTATTAGCTGAAAATGACATGAATTCTCCAGGCTAGAATCCATTTCTAAGTATTTCCTATTCTTCATCCAAGCTGGTTAGTGAAGCAGGGTCCTGGTCCATCTTGCCATTGGATATATTTGTTTTTGAAATTAGGAAGTATTTTAAAAATTCAGAGTCAGGATTTTGATGAAGAGGTAAATGTCAGTAGCCATCACTTAGAACAAAATCTATTACTAAAAACTAATAAAGGTCATTTGACAATTTGATTGAAATTAGTTTTTATGAAGTTAAACTATTTCAGCTTCCTTTGGTACTCACATCTATTACAACTAGTGTCTTAAGCATGCAAGCCAGGAAATAGTGAGAACTATACTGATTGCATCGTATGATTTTAACACAAAGATGAGCATATTCTAGTAATGTGTAATTCAACTTTTAAAGGAATTAGCCGTATTCTTGAAAAGAGAACAAAGTAGGTATTAGTGTATAAAATCATATTTTCTTATTGATTCATTGTAATTTCACATGGCCATTCCCACGTGAGAAAAAACTTAGCACATGAAAACACGATTTTAAGTCCTACCAGATGCTGGAAGGGGTGTGCCCGTTGGTGGAAATGGCTTTCCTGTGTCGCCCTCATCGCGCCTGGGGTTGGTCAGTGAAGAATGGTCCACACTGACGGGAGGATCATTTATTTGTCATGAGCGCCTGCAGAGGCCAAGGCCCTGCTCGGCCCCCTGGGGAGCTGAGCCTGGGGAAACCCTCCCGTCCTTCAGTGCATGGTTGTGCTGCTCCCGGGCTCCTAGTGAGAGCCCAGCGAGGGGACTTGGCCTCCCCTGTCCACCGGGTTCCTTCCATGCAAGGACGCTGTTGACTAAGAAGGGCGACACACCAGTCATGCGCCACCCCGTTCCCACACCAGGTCCCCAGAGGAACAGGAGGTGGGCAGAGACGGCGGCCCCTTGAGTGCGTGCGGTCAGGGTCCCGCAGCTCACATTCCACTCGAGGTGCCTTCTCACCGATCTCTCCCAGCCTCCTCCCAGAGACCCTCGGAGGTGCCGCCGTCAACACGGATGGATCTGCCTGTACCCACACGCTCCCTCCTCACGGGAGATGTTGCTGTTCCACGTCTTCAGCACGGCTGGGGCCTGTTGTGGGGCAGCCAGGAGTGACCGGCCTGGCCCAGTGTCCGTGGACCCTCTTCTGTATGAAGCCTTCTCTTGTCCACGCCTCCCTGTTTTGCTTGTCTCCTCGTAAGGGCTCGGTCACCTGAATTCACTGGCTGTGCCGTCCTCTTTCTCCCTGCTGAGTCTCCTTCCTCCCTCCTTCCGTACGATACCCTCACTCTGTTAATTAAGGCCCCGTCAGAATGCAAAGCAAGAGTGCACCCTGTTCCCATTTTATTAGGAAACTTCACAGACTTTGTGTGAGGTAGCTCTCTAACCAGCAGCCCCAGCTCTTCTAATAATGGTTTATTGGACCTGAAGAACAAACAAGAGGCTTTCAGAAGGAGGTCGCGTCTAAGGAGCATTCGGTCGTCATTCAGGGATCACGCCTAGAACAGACCTCTGCTGACTTTTGCTCTGACGTTTTCTGTGAGGGTGGATGAGCAAGTGGGATTTCTAAATTCAGGTGAGAATCTTAGCTGTGCACGCTGGCTGTTGTCCAGCTTAAATGCTCTGTGGAGGAGGTGGCTGGAGCAGGGTGGTCGTGCCTGTGTCAGCAGGGGGCAGAGTCCAGGATCTAGGCTTAGTCCAGACGTTTGATTCAGCCAGGAAAGCACGTGACAAAGAACCAGAGCCTCAACCCTTCACTTCAACCCACCTGGCGTGCAGAGCGGGCCGCGTTCATTCGTCTTAAAGAGTCTAGTCCTCGCTTACGTAACACTAGCACTTTGCGAAGGAAGGAGGGAGTAATTTGGGAGGTTATTATCTAAACTAGAGAAGTAATCAGTGGCGAAGGCCCATTTGTCTTTTCAAAATAGCTTATAGGAGACTGTACTTGACAACGTGCTCACAGTTTTGCATATTCAATTACACAATTGAAGAATCATAGCATCACTCATCTTTCAAAAAAACTTTCCAGGAACTTCCTGAAGTTGAAAAGAGTCTTATTATAGCAGGTAAAAATTACCGGTTCCCTGGCACATTTCTTGTGCGTATTGTTTGCTGTGTTCTGTGCTCTGACACACGCCCGGCGTCGTACCCGGAAGTCAAGGACGTAATCCTGGCTCTGAACTGGGAAGCCCCCATCCACGGAGATTTGGTAAAAACAGTGATATTACTCCACTGCGGTCGCTGTTAGGGTTAGTATCAGTGAGCTAACGACTTACGCGTATTCAACAAACTATTATTTTAAAAGCATCTTTTAATTGGTTATTCACCAGCTATTTGAATACACACGCACACACGCACGCACGCACACACACGCGTGCGCTGTCTGGAAACTCTGGTGGAGCTGTTTTACGGGCCTACAGCCCCTGCTCTGCTGAGGACGTCCATGGAGCTCATGAGATTTAGCCTCTCTGAGTGAGGGCGTGCAGCTTTGCAAGCAGGCGCTCGCCTCAGGGGTGTGATTTGAGGGGCTTCAGAAAACTTCTCCCAAATTTCCTGCTGTAATGCTTGTTTTCCTCCTTCAGAAATTAATCCCAGAGGGTCTTCAAGGCTTTTTGTTTCCAAGAGTCCCCAGTTAAACTTGAAAAATACCTCTGAAATCTAAAATATAGAGCGTTGTGGTTTTATCTCCCTCAGGGTCTACATACAGCATGGATCCTCTAGAATGAGCCCCAGACAAGTGACCCTGGGGTCTGAGACCCTGACAGAGGGATCGGGAGATGGGACCAGATGATGTTGCTTAGGGCTTTGTGTCCTTTGTCAGGGGACGTTGTTCTCTCCTTCTACTCACTGTGTGTAGATGGACAGGAAGCACAGGCTCAATTCACGACGGTTCCTGGAGTGGCTCAAGTCGAGAAGGATGGCTTTAATAGAAGAAACGAGTTTGGGCTGTTTCATAGACTCTGCCAACATCCGCCAGGTCCTTAGCAAGTCGCTTTGCTGCCTCCACCAGATTTATCCAGATCCAGCCAGGGCCACGGCCGGCTCCCCTGGGCCTGTGGTTCCCCCCTGAGGTTGTGCCCCTATCTGCGTCCTCCTAGCCTGCACCCCAGACAGCTCCCCGCTCACTTCAGTCTCCACGGGTGGCGCCTCCTTCCTCACCTCCTTCTCACAGGCCTCTCTCTTTCAGGAATTAAGGAAGAAATGCACAAAGCGCTCTTGGAAACCTGTTTGAAATTGTGATAGAGCATGCCCAAAACAGGTGCTTCCTGGCTCAGAAAGCTGAGCTCCTGGGAGGCTGTGTCTTGGTCAACGTGGTTCAGCTGGAGGTGCAGGGGTTTCTGTCTGCGGTGAATGAGCCCTCTCACACCAGCTGCCTCCCCTCGTCACAGCAGGCTTGTCGGGGTCTGCAGTAAGAACCATGTCGCGCTCAGTGCTTACTATCTGCCTGACGATTTAAAGTACGTGTTCTTATTTAACCTCCCTACAACATGGGAGGGCCCTGCCAGTGTAGTTCCAATTTCACATATGAAGACGTCGCGACTGGGCTAGCAAGGCATTTTCCCATCTTCCTGCAGCTAATAAATGCTGCAGTCGCAATGCCCCCTGGGTCCTTCCGGCTCCTGGATGCCTGTGTTCTCTCTGGTACAACAGAATGATTACTCCCAGTCTCAATTTTTTTAATCAGATTTTTGAAAGACCCAAGCTATTTAATTTTTTTTTTAGTGAATATGGATAGTCAGGAGCTATCTGTATATATTTTGAACTTTTGAACCAACTCATCGGTGTCAGAAAGTTGAGAAGCATTTGTTAAACTCCTGTGTGCTGGCCCCCATACAGAATTCAATAGAGCCATTAGCCTCTCATAAATTGATCAGAAAAAAATATGAACAGAATGAAGAACAGGAGAAGACAGTAGAGACTCATGTGCTAGTCTGTGAAGTTGGGATCATGATTCTGCAGAGTTTAGGTAGAACTCACTAGAGGTGGTGCTGGACCTGGGTCTTGAAGGGAATCTGGAGTTAATACGTGAGAGTAGGTCCAGGGCTTCCCAAGAAGACGGAGCATCAGAAGGGGTCTCGTCAGGTGGGTGTGTGATGTCCTGGTCCTGGAGGTCTCTTGCAGGGCTCCAGCCCACCCATCATGGAGCATGTGCATCAGAGTGCCTCTGAGATGGGCAATGCTGGCATCTCCTTGCCTAGAAAACGGACAGATGATGCTGTCACTTTGTGTGGTGACCAGGGGCCAGCAGGGACATGTCTCACTGTGTTCTGTAGGGTTTCCATACCCCAGGGCTGCTAAGGAACATTCCCAGAGACCCTGGAAGCAAGCAGCAGAGACTGACCCACCTCTGCAAGGGGTCTGCTATTTGCTGGTGGGCGCTTCTCCCCCGTCCTCTTCATGCCGCCAGCTTCATCCCAGGCTCGGAGAGTCTTTCAGGGCCAGTGAATCACTGTATCCCACTGCCTGCTTTTGTAAAGAAAGTTTTATTGTACCACAGCCACACCCACTGTTCTGTACCGCCTGTGGCTTCTTTCCTGCTACAATGGTAGTTGTGAGAGAGAGCGTGTCATCCTCAAAGCCTAAAATATTTACTCTCTGGCCCTTTATAGAAAATGTTCACTGAGCTCTGTGCTAATTGTCCTTCTGTCCTTATCATACTTTTCTCTGGCCAGGCAGAGACATTTCTCAAACTTTTTCTCTGTTGGGACTTTATTCTGTCAACACTGATTTAGACTGATGTTTGGTGCAAAAGTAAACAGAGCTATAAAGGAGGAAGCATGAGTAATTAATTTGACCCCAGGGTATCTTCGTGTGATTCCATTCTGCATTAAGTCAGGAAGTCTTCCTGCGAACAAATCGTATTTAATATCTTATTTGTTGGCTCACCAGCTCTTGGGTGCCCTGTAAGCTGCATTTGCTCTCAGACTCAGCCAGGCTCACCCTCCTGAGGTTGACCAGCAGTCCCAGTGGCCAAGAGCCTGGAGATACCAGTGGCTCTTGTCCTTGTTTATTCTGTACATATTGGGCTGTAAGCGTACATTCCTCTGGGCAGAAATTAAAGTTAATTCATCCTTGTAATCAAATTGGGCACTCCTAAATTAAGTAACTCATGATATTTAAACAAAGTTCATAATTTTTACGTTAATTGGCTATTTTATTCTAGATCTTGTTCTTTTTCAACTGGAAATATTTTGTTAATTCAAAGGGAACACATTTCAACAGTCACTTCAGCTGAAAAATCATCGCTAATTGAGATTTCGTCTTCCTGTCTGTTAAAGAACTATTTGGTGCCTTATTTGTGTGATTTACTTTTCAAACCCTCAAATCCGATACGTACAATGACCAGCTGATGCAGCTGAAATAGCTGCTAGTGAGGAGCGGTGAGAAGAGCAGCCTTGGGCTTCTGGAGCTGAGATAGACACGTTTCCAGAGAGCGATGGCCACTCGTCCACTCGTCAGATATCTTCAAGTCATGAGAGGAAGCAACTGAGAAGGTCAGTCCCATAAAATTGTTCTTCAGCTCTCCTCTTGGGAAGAATCACTGAAGTGCATGCACCGTGCCATCCTTATTGTCATAACTGCTTATTTTCATACAAGCATTATTCTTTTTTAGTGAATATGAGCAGTTTTTTCATTCCTGGGAAATATGCCCCATCACATGTTGCCTTTTCACGTGTACATGCAGGTGGCTTGAACACAGCTCTACACGTGTCACTGTCTGGAGCTGAGGAACCTCTCCTCGTCATGGTTTTTCATCTTGAGATAATTGTATCAAGCTGAGAAGAATCAGGACCAGAGCATCACCACCCCATGATAACTCCACAAAGTAAGATTTTCACTGCGAGTCTTACATAAGAGAGAATTCTCTCTCTCTGTGTCTTGAGTCTAACATTCTCCCCTCTATGTACAGGGACCAGGAAGAGTTTGCTGTCCTCATCTGGTGGTGGAAACCATTTCTGGGTTTGAAGGTGAGTTATTCATGCCAGAATTGAGTAATCCCTGTGTCTGTGGGACTGTGGCTTATTTGGCTTTGGATTTCATGAGTATTTTACAGAGTTCGCTTTGGTGTGATTACGTTTATAGATGTGAGTGGAATTTACGTTTTTGTCATTTTCTTTCACTTACTCTGCTGCTTCTGCCTTGCTGGGGACAGACATAAGGATGTCGAGTTGGTGATTCAGCCTTTGGCTCAGGATAAAATAATGGTGAAGCCATGGGCTTGGGCACAGCCACTGATTTCTTCTAGGAAAAAAAGTCAAGGAGAAAACATTGGTGGCATCTCCCTTCCAGAACAGCCTGCGTGGGAGGGAAAGGCAGAGGTCGTTTCTCCAGCAGTGCAATATAATTACGTTATGAACTTTGGTTCAATATTTGAATCATCAACAAATAAGAGATACACCAGAAAGCAGACATAAATATTAATATTTGGTGACTATAAAACTATTTCTGTAAAGCAAATGCATCATTTTCAAGTAAAAGATCAATTATACAATTATTGAAGTATTTGTATAGTGGAGCAACTCCTGTTGATTGTCTTGCAAGTAAAATTAACTTATTTGTTTGCTTTTGAAGTACAAGGAGTCCATCCTGTTAGTAAAAAATTTTTGAGCTCCAGAGTAACCAGTTTTGACGTGATGCAATGAGGTGTGTTAGAGAGTGAGCAGTGATAGTTAGCAACCTGAAAGAAGGTGTTTGGTCCAGTATCCGGGTTTCTCAGACCATCCTGAAGCCCGTGCTGGCTTGAAGACAGACTATGCTCATTCAACAAATGCTTGTTGGTTTCTTTCTTTGAGTAAAGCTTTCTGTATTTACTCTAAATAGTAAGAGCTTGAACGTTACAGCCTGGTGGTTTTCAGAAACCTTTCACACGTGTTATCTCACTTGATTTTATACTGAATCAAAGAAGGGCATGAGGTCCTAGGAGTCATGGCTACATAATTCATTAGCTAAATGAGGGCATGTTTGAGAGTGAAGAAACAGTAAGGAGGAGATGAAAAATGATTAGCAAAAGTCAGATCTAGAATGGAAAACCATATTTGCTTATCCTGGAATTTTGCTCCTGTGATGGTCACATGTGTTTGTAAAGTAATCAGTATTAACTTGAGTATATTCCTGGGAATAAATGGTACCAGTGAAGTTGGAATATCCTAAGTATTAAAAGAATGTGGTTTGCAGTGCCATTAGAAGCATAAGAAGGATCCTAATGCACGCGTTTGCTGATCCTTCCATGATCTGAAGATCATAAGCTGCCAGCCATAAAGTACAGTATGTTTTGTATCTTCTGTGTGTTCAAGAAAGAACAGTTGAAATGACCCATTTCATTTCCTGATGAGGAAAATGCTCTGTGAGATACACAGAAATGATTAGGGTGGGTTGTGGCATTTTTCTTGTTTGACTTTCAGTAAAGATATCCCATTATTTGCAGGGGTGAACGGGCCACGCTGAGCTCGACTAACATCTCCGGACCAGTTATTAGAGTGATTTCCCCTAATTATACACCAACAAATTGTGGGAAGGCAGGAACCTGTCTTGGCTGTCTTGATCTCAAGCAGTCAGAGGCCTCGAAAAACTATCTGTTGATGTGATAAAAAGAGTTAAGGAGCCAAAATAATTTGCTAAATTAATAAGAACTCGGCTAAAGACTTTGTAAGACTTAAGTTCAAATAACTTTACTGAGAGTTTATTTCTCTGGAGAGAAGGTTGGGGCTCCCGTGTCTTCTCGGCCATGCTTCTCTTGTCTGTCTGTCTGTAGAACGTCCAGCCATCACGGGGTCAGGGCTACGTGCAGTTTTTGCTATTTGTGAGGAGGTCTGTATGGATGTGTTGCTCTCTCTGTGCTTCTCGTCTCGTCACCACTTGTCTCCTCCATCCTCAGCCTCTTGGGAACATCTCCTTCCTTGACATCAACATCACGTAGGGAGGAGCCCTGAGACCACTGTGGCCACGTTGGATGCATAGAAGGGTCATGGGCACGCAGAGGAATGAGTGGTACCACGTCCTCGTGAGAGTGAATTGGTTGCCTTGACCAAGAGGTGCAGAGAAGAATCTAAAACAGTGCCCAAAGGCTGCCTGAGCACCCTGCCCCCCAACCACCCCTTCTGCCATCGGTGGGAGCAGAGATTGATTCAAAGTGGATGCTCCTTCCCTGTCCGTGTTAGAGGCAGCCGAGAAGCGTTGCCTGTACCCACTGAAACTGGCAGACTTGAGACACAGTGGCGGATTTAAACAACCTCGATCAGGATTGTAGAGGCTGTCCTTGGGAACGTGCTTGCACTGAATACACGGAGAATGTTCCAAGTGCATACGATTCTATATAGAGAGGGGACATCCAGCTCAGCATAAGTCCCAGCAACGTGCAGCAACATGCTGCTGACACCATGACTTTCCTTCCCAGGCATCGCCATGATGCTGATTTTCAGATTTTCAAAGGACGGAACCTTGCTAATAGAATATTATTCTATTTTGTCTGGATGCCCAGGGACAAAGGGATGGAGGATCTCTGATCAGGTTGTTCTCAGAGTATCTGAGATGGAACAGTCCAGAAGTGGAACTATCTTAGCTAGATATACCTTTTATAAGATATCAGATAAAGAGTTATTTTAAATTCTGGGTGATTTTTTCCAAAAAGTTTGTTCTGATTCACTTCCATAAAGATCAATATATTTTGTGATACAAAGCAGAATCTCGTTTGTTAAGGAGGTTTGGTAAAAGATGTTACTTCCCCGGCTGGCCTGGGCTCCGTGGGGGTAACTGTAGTGGGGTCGCTTCAAGCTTTCTCTCTCTAGTAATATATAAAAGAAGTCTTATTTAGACCCAACAAAATGATTCATTGAAAATGACTGAACCCAAACTCTAAAATGAGCAATATTTTCGTGTGTGTGGCTGTAAGTGTGCGTGTGTGTTTGAGTGCAATAGTGTTGGCGGGTTCAAGTTCTTCCTACTTGAGGACCTGGCGAAGAGCATTCAAAGTGTGGCTGAAATATTGCTCATAGCCCTGCCTCCAAATCAGCCACTTTTCTCCTCAGATTAACTCAGTTCTGCAGTCTTTAGATGTCTACCGCATAAGCTTTGTCTCGCATGATTTTGCAGTGGGATGGAGCATTCCCATTTCGATGTCTGTCTTTACTGCTATTTTCAGATAGTCCTTAGTCTTTCCATCTGCAAGTGCTCAAACTTTAAATATAGTTTTTGTGATGAGTTTGCTGTCCAAATGCTCTGCAGAATCCTGTCTGCCTGCTTGTCATTCAGTGGGGACGGCTGCAGGCTCTTACCTCTCTCGTTCTCTTGTCCACCACCTCTTGTGACTCTGGGCCACCTGTGTTCTTTGTGCCTCCACCAGGTGCCACGCAGAATGGCAGTGGTGGTTCCTTCTGGCTTGAGTTCTAAGTTGAAAATGAACCCCTGGGGAGATACTGGAACCCCCTCCTCCTGCGTTAGTGGGTTCCCCCGGGCGACGGCAGCTTTGAGGCCCCGCCGCTCGTCTCTGCACTCACTGTGACGTGGGCACCTCGCAGAACCCCCGTTTGCTCTGAATAGCATCACCTTCCCTTGCTGGAGTGGTGGGCTCTGAGGCAGAACTGAAGTTAGAGGCAGTGACCTATCTTTTTGCACCTTGATGGGAGAGGAATAGTGGGATGGTTTGTCCCATTTGCTTGTAAAATTCGTGGAAGCTTCATTCGGGATGGGTAAAGACCACCATGCAGCTTTGCAGAAGCAGAACTTGCCTGTGCAGGAAGATGAGCCTTATAAAGTGCTCCATATCTTGGGGGATTCGACTGGATAATCTCTAAAGTTCCCATTGTTGAGATTAAGGACTGACCCTGCTTCCTACCTGAGGTTCGGTCCTGATCGGAAGGGGGAAGCTGGGGGCAGAGTCCTGGAATGACAGTCTGGGGCGACTGGACAGGTTATTTGAATTAACTGTGTGTGTGATCAAGGTCTTCGCATTTCATAAGGTTCTGCTGCTTTCTAGGTATCTAGTGATTCCTTCTCACTCGCTCTCTCTATATGTGTGTTTGCACACACACACACACACAAGGAATCACTATATAGGTATATGTTTGTATATTTATGTATACTTGTAGGTATGTACACATGTATCTATATATGAGTGTGTGTGTGTGTATGTGTACACACACACACACACAATCACATAAAACTGGAAAAGGACCTAAGGTGAAATCTTGATTTTTGTGGGTTCTGTCCTCCTGGGAGAATCTCCCCTTTGTCAGTACGTTTGCCCTAACTGACTGCGTGGCTTGGTTCTCCTAGAACGCTCTCAAATTACAGCCTGAGCCACTTGTGAACCAGTGGCCCTGGAGCTCTCCCTCTTTGTGTCAGTTTCCCTGGCTCCCATTTCAATATCCAGACTTCACAGTTAACTGTACGATTATAATGGCCGAGGACCCCAAGTCCACGTGTCGTTTTGATGCTCTCAGCTCAGTTTTGTGTCTGTTCAGCGAATGTTCGCTCCAAACTTACTGTGAGCCAGGCACTGGGATGGCAGAGATTCATAACATATGGTCCTTTTCAGAGGAGCTCATTTTCTAGTTGGAAAAGGGATCTCTACAAAATAACCCTAATGTGATATAAACAAGGACAGTGGTGGAGACAGAGAGCTGTTGTAGTAGTTATGAATCTTTTTTGATTTAATTGATTGGGGTAAGTCAGGAAATGGCAGGGAGCAAACGTGTGGCACTTGAGCCCTTGGGGCAATCCTTGATGGGTGGAGAACCCTCGCCTGCCTTTGGTCCTTGCTGCTTATTTTGTGTTATTAGGGAGGAGAAAGGGTAACAGAGGGGAAGCGGGAGTCTGGTGTGTGGGGCTATCCTGAGAATGGGGGCCTTCCGAATTAACAGTGGGAGCAACACTGGGCCTCGAAGTTCTCTCAGCATCTGTCAACCCCGTAGCATCTCTAGCTGTGAGCATTGCCGCCCTGGCTGATCATCCACAGAGAAAAGACAATAAAAGAGGAAGAAACAGAACGGAACGGTTCTGTAGAGTTCAGAGGCATCAGTAAGCACCCAAGGGCGCAGCCAGCTCTCCTTCTGGACTAGACATCAAGTCATGGGGGCGCTGAGACTCATCACTCAGGGTGCTGTGGCAGTTGAGGGGTCCCAGGTCCCCTGTGCCTCAGCCTCCCGCTTCACACATGCTGGGCGAGGAGACGCACGTGGGCTGCCAGCACCAGCGTAGCTTGCACTTGCCGTCAACAGCGCTGGTCCTGCTTGCTCCAGAAACTGTGGTCAGCGTCTTGTCATGCAGAGGAGGAGCACAAAGATCGCAGCTGTCTTATTTGTGGAAACATTTGGCGGCCGTCAATTCTCAGCACCAGCACTTCTGAAATTATGAGCGCACTGTCTTATTATCTGGCAGCTGTGTCATTCACACTTCTCCTCTAACAACCCGTAGTGACTTCAGATGCTGTTAATGTCAAAGCGTTGATTGACGGCTAATATTTCACTGTTTGGTTTTGCAGATTACAGCGCCCGTTTCCTCGGAGGCATCACGGGATGTGTCATACGAGGACCCTGCCCGTAAGTGTACCTCCAACCTGCTCATCCTAGACTCTAGGCCACTGGCTGTGCCGGGATCTCTTCTAATGCTTTCTTCTCCTTTTCTTTGCAGGTCACTCATATTAAGACAATTTCCTTAATTTGTCACTGCATTCGTCTCCGCATCTGAAAACTGAAAAGAACCACAATAGCAGAAGAACGGAAGAAGCTCTATTACTATTTAGATATTTGTTTTGCCATTTTTGCATCAAAAATATTGAAAACTGAAATTAAACATCTATAAAGTATTTCGTATGACTCAGATTTTTTTTTACCTTCAGCTTTATTAAGGTATAATTGACATATGAAATTGTAAGATATTTAAGTGTACATCATGATTATTTAATCTACATATACACTGAGAAAGGACCCGTGCCGTCTAGTTAATTAACACATATTTATTTTCTGTTGTTGTTGATGGTGAGAACATTGAAGTTCTACTGTCTTAGAAATTTCAATTATACAAAACAATGTTATCAACTATAATCATGGTGTACATTATATCCTCAGACCTTACTCATCTTATCACTGAAAGTCTGTACTCTTTTCCTAACCTCTTCCAATTTCCCCCACCCCAGCCCCTGGCAACCACTTTTCTACTCTCTGCTTCTATGAGTTTGACTTTTTTTTTTGATTCCATGTATAAGTGATACCATGCAGTATTTGTCCTTCTCTGTCTGACTTATTGCTCTAAGCATAATGCCCTCAAGGTCCATCCAAGTTGTCGCATGTGGCAGCATTTCCTTCTTTCTCATGACTGAGTAGGATTCCACTGTGTATACAACACATCTTCTTTATCCATTCTTCCATCGATGGACACTTAGGTTGTTTCCATAATGACTCAGATTTCTTATTTAAGGAAAACATAATGTTTATATATAAATCTTTATTTATATATTTATATATAAATTAACATTTAATTTTTTTCTAAAGAGTGGCACCTGAGCTAACTTCTGTTGCCAATCTTCTTTTTGTTTTTCCTTCTTCTTCTTCTCCCCAAAGCCCCCCAGTACACAGTTGCATATTCTAGTTGTGAGTGCCTCTGGTTGTGCTATGTGGGACGCTGCCTCAACGTGGCTTGATGAGCGGTGCCATGTCTGTGCCCAGGATCCGAACTGGTGAAACCCTGGGCCGCCAAAGCGGAGCACGTGAACTTAACCACTTGGCCATGGGGCCAGCCCCAACATTTAATGTTAATCTAGTAACTTCTATTTATTCTAGTTATTTTACTTAGGTAAAATATTTATGAAAATACCCACAAGATTAATGACACTTTTTAAAATGATATTGTCACTGCCCCCCAACAAATATATTTTCATTTCTCCCTATTTTGGGAATTCTGAAGACTGTCACTGAACATTGGGAATGATTTCTCTCTTTTAGGTAGGTCCATTGTATAAATTATTAAAAATCATTCACATTATGTGCTTAAAAGTTAACAAAATAAGGATCCTATTTGAGAGGTTGGACATGATTATCCACATGGTTTTGTGGCAGGTGAAATATGCATCTACCATGGCCATGCCTCTTTATTTTCAGAATTTAGTTATGATTTCTTAGGTGAACTACTTAAGAAAGGTACAAACATGGAATAGGAACTAGAAGAATTCCCTGTATTTCACAGCTACATAACAACTTGTTATAAAACAGGATTGTAGCAAACTGCCTATTTGTGAGTTACGCATTAATTAATTCAGCAAATATTTGTTGAGGCTGATAGGTTCCAAGCAGGGCATGAGGCGTAGCTGTTTCTGGCAGTGGATGCAGCGTGGACAGCAGAATGCGTTTCAGAAAGCAAAGGAAGTTCTCGTGGCTGGGGAGCAATCTGTAGGACGGGGCGAGAAAAGAAATGGGGCACCTGAGGTTAAGATGGGTCAGGTCACATGACACCTCATGAACCGTGGGAGGGAATTTGGGGGTTTGAATGACCAGGAGAAGTCCCTGATGGGTTTTTGAGCTGAAGTCTTTTGCTGAGACTTGCATTTTTGCAAGCTCCTGAAGGCTGCAGTACGGAGGATGGATCAGAGGCGTGGATGAGGACAAAGAGCGGGAGAAATATGAAGCTACCATGGCCATGCCTCTTTATTTTCAGAATTTAGTTATGATTTCTTAGGTGAACTACTTAAGAAAGACTGAAGACTCTCCCAGTGGTCCTGGGGGAACGTGGTGGCTTGGAGTTGAGCAGGGAGCAGAGAGTAGGAGAGATTAGACAACATGCGAAGGTGGGAGGTGACGGTGGAATCAATAGTGTTGGCAGTTAACTGGCGTGGATGTGAAAGGGGGCAGGATCAGGGACGACTCCTGGGTCTTGCTGGGAAGTTGGGAGGCTTGGTGGCCTTCAAGAGCAGATCAGGACCCGAGGCCACAGGGCGGGGACTGGGGCCGGTGTGATCTTCCAGGCCCCATCCTGAGGCTGTGCTTGGGGACCGACTACATCCAGGAGGCAGTCGGATGCCTTGGCGGAGAGTCAGCAGAGTCTGGGCTGGACCTGCTTTGGGAAGACCCCTCAGCATCGGGATGTTAACTGGAGCTGGGAGAGCAGCTGAGATGTCTTGGGAAGGACTCAGGGTGAGAAAAGGGGAAGGACTGGGACAAGACTCCAAGGAGTACCAACGCTGAAGGGTGAGCAGAGAGGAAGTGGGGGCAGTTGAGAAAGCACGGCCAAGGACATAGAGGAAGCTAGGAGAGAGCACGGCATCAAGGACGTCCAGGGAAGAAACTGGGGTGTGGGGTCAACAGCGTCCCGCTGCCGAGAGGCACCTGCGTGTTTTCTTGCTGTTAGTGGGGAGGCAGTGGGCGTGGGTTGAGAGTGAGTCAGGTGAATAGGAGGGGAGGGTGGTGGCAGTGAGTGTGGACAGCGTCTTCACTGCAGGTCAGTGTCTTTGACGAGGAGGATGCTCTTAGAGCGACACCTGGGACAGGCGAGGCTGAGGGAGGGGCTGTGTTTGCTCCTGAGCTGGAAGTGAAAGAACGTGTTTAAGTCCTAATAGAGAGGCCGCCAGCAGAAAGGAGGAGCTTGACATATGAAAAGGGGGGGGAATTGATGGAGGCTCGGCAGGTCCAGCGGGGCAGGCTGGAGACACGGCATCCGTCGTAACCGAGGGGAATGAGCACGTTCAATGCTCGGGGTACCAGATTTCATTTTTATTTCAACTTAAGAATTTTAAGAAATTCATTAAGGTTTTTTTCTTAGAAGGGGTACTTTGATGAGGCGAAATAGTCGTTTATGTTACAGGTCCTCCTCCTTTTTCCTGTAACCTGTCCGTTAAATTGCACCATTGCTGATGGACTCACAGCCACTTATGGACCCGAGAGCCAAGTGCCGCTTCACCCTCCCCTCCACGTCCGTGTCCTTTCCCTGTGGTCTGTTCACACACAATTTCCCAGCTGGTTGCAGCCCCTTTACAAGTAAAGAGTGAACAGCTATGTTTTGGCACAGTTTGTTCTCCAAACTCTTCATTTCTGTTGTATTTTCTTCTTGAGGAGTCATGAAACGATTTATAGATATATTTTCAAATGTGAGTCTGTTCAAAAGTAAATTTATTGATCAGAACGTGCGAAGGCTCTTGAAACTTCAGGGCTGGCTGCAAGAAATAGGATTCTAAGATGAGGGTGTCTGGAACAGGAGTTCGCCTGTTGGATTCAAAGATTTTTGTAGTCTTGCCTGTAACATATTATGTATTTTGTTACTCCTTAAAATGTTGAACAGAAGTGCCAGTTTTAAAGCATTCAGCATAAATAGTCTCCCCAGAACATTTTTTTTTGGTGAGGAAGATTAGCCCTGAGTTAATGTCTGTGCCAATCTTCCTCTATTTCGTATGTGGGACGCTGCCACAGCATGGCTTGATGCCCAGGATCCTAACCCGTGAACCCAGGGCCTCCGAAGCAGAGCACACATGAACTTAACTACTCGGTCACAGGGCTGACCACACCCCAGGACAGTTTTAATCTTCAGTGCTCTGTGCTTGTAGTGAATTAACTTATGTGCTATTGAGTCTGTCTGTAGAACAATGCACAGTGAATGTTCTGTGTTTTGGTTGCTTTGTGGGTTTCGTTTATATAAGCAGCGGTACTCTTGACATCGTCCAAGTGGCAGAAAGTAATACACTATCGAGAGAGGTTACCTTCTTCAGCCTTTGTTCAAGACGTAAGTTAAACCGGAGGCGCTGAAACAGCCAGTGTGCGTGAATGCGGCGTCTTGTCTCCCGGAGGAGAGTAAAGGTCAGACCTCAGTGGTCCAGGGCCTGAAGACAGATCCCAGAAGGGCCCACGGCTGAGCGTGACCCTCGTCAGCTCCACACGACCTCCCAGAAAACGGTAAGTTGCTTTTGTTGTTTTAAAAAATAATAATAATTCTTAGAAAAAGAGATTTTCCTACACGTCTGCTCTTCTGCCTCCTCGGTTTTTCAGAGCCCTCCCTGCACCTGCCGGAGAGGCTTGTGTTGCTTTCTTAGAGATGCTGCTGTCACATGAACAAGTTTTGTTTTCCAAGTTTTGTGTATGTGTCGTGGTGCAGTCTCTGCCTCGCTTCATAAGTAGCAAATTTCATTTCCTTTTCGAAGTCTGAGGAAATCAAGACATCAAGGGCTTTTTTTTCTGAAGCCCAGATCAGGAGGCCTGGCGACGGCTGGTGGGCGCCTGGGAGATGGCAGTCCAGGCTCTGGGGCCGCCTCTCCCTCAGGGCAGGTTGGTCCTGGTCGGGGTCCCGGGCTGGTGGGTCCCACTGACCAGCTGAGCGCCCTTGAGCCGGGCATTCTCATGCTGTATAAAGCAGTGGAATTAAATCAGATGGCCCTCTGAGGTCATTTTCAGTGCAAAAAAATCTACAATCCCTTTCAAAAAGAACATTTTTGTAGAAAGAGGAAAGTGTTTTAATTAGCATGTTATTAAGAATAATTTTACCAAAAAAATAAAAATCGTTATAATTCTTAGAAGATTTCTCCACACCTTTAAAAACGACCATTTTAAAATAGTCTGTTGCAGTTGGAAATGAATTCTCTGATGGCCACAGTGCATCGGACCGTGAGGCTGTTTTCCAAATCTGGATCTTTAACCCGAAACAAGCGAGTCAGCCCATCCAGTTCAAATCTATGCCTCCCCTGGTGAAACCCCTGGGGTTTTCAGGGCTTCTCACACAGGAGGAGCGTGGTCCGTCTGTGCCAATGAGTGACAACCTTAAAGTCTCTCGGTCCAGCGTGTGACTCGAGTGACGTTGGTAAAAACACCTGCACTTCTGGAAAGACCTCTT